CCCTATCAAAGTCAGCACCACTTTCGTGATGAGGCCATTCGGAAGAGGGCTCTCTTTTCCTGTCCTCACATACAACCTAGTCCATGGTCCCCTAGCCCAACTCCTTCCCCTTCACAGCAAGCTTATAAAGCAAGAGGAGAAGAACGGAGGTCTGAGGTCTTTCAACATCCCAGAGGAAGCTTCACACCGTCTGGCTTGTCTGACGGGCTTTCTCTCCCCCAGGGAGATGGTCCTTCCATGGGAATTCTCTCCCTTTGGTTTGCTGGCCCATTTCCTGAGGGTTTTATCTGGGACCCTTTGTCCTTTTGAGGGCATGTTTTGAGGGCTGATCTCCTATTCGCTCCCCCCCCCTTGAAACCCTAAGGATAACCTTTGCTGGCACAAATAGTTCTGGGAAAGGGAAGGGACAAAATGGAGAAGGGAGCCGAGAGCTCATCTCGTCATCAGAACTGGAGGGGGGGATAACAAAGGAGAGCATCCAACGGGGATACATCCTGCCCCTCCCTCATCCTTTTTTTTTTCCTGAAGAAATTCAAAAATCCATCATCTCTTAGAGGGGGAAAAAAAGAAGCTTGTTTCTCCCACGAGTGTCCTTCAGGCATGATTTAGTACAGCGTATTTCCCGAAATGTTTGGGTTCCGATGGCATTGTGGCAGCAAGTGACCAAAAAAAATGAGTAAAATTGCTCAAGGGAGATGAATTAGTGTAAAGTAGCTCAGATAAATATTTACACCCAACCTCCTTCAATTTAAGCCTTGGTGAGGCAGCTTCAGTTGCTTTTTTCTTTTTGTTACCGGTGTCCTTAAAGTTCATTGTAAATGTTATAATAGCCCGAGGAGAGGTCAAAGGATGGGTGGTCTTTTAAAAAATTAATGCTTCTGGTTTTCTTAAAGTCACCAACTGAGCAGAAACAAACAAAAGAAGGAGTCTCTTCTGAAAACTATGAACACTGTAGTTTTCTGAAGGCCTAACAACATGTTACAAGATATGGTGTCACTAGAAGATAAAATCTGAAAGAGTAACAAGGACATGATTTTAGGGGGGGCTTCGTGACGGAGTAGCCACGCTTGCCAATGATGCTTGTGTTTACCCCCTGATGACCAATCACAGAACAAAGCAGGCTAACTTACAAAATACAGGAAGTACAGAAAGCTATGGCAATCAGATGTTTTCAGCATGTCAAGGAATTCTCCCTTCTCACAACGGGGTAACTGTGATGTAGCTCTTCAAGAGGTCAGCGGTGATAAAAATCTGTGACAAATCGTTAGATCAGGTGCTTAACACATCGGAAGAGAGCCTGAATTAGTTGCACAGAGTTGTGATGCTGGAGGAATTAAGACTGAGCATGGGTTAGATTAATTGAAAGACTCCAATGGGCTGTGGGTCTGTCTGCTGGGATGACTCCTTCTCCTCCCTCCATCCTGCTCCTCCTATGTGAGACCTCTTAAGATGAGACCTCAATGATGGGATCAGAGGCCTTCCTGGAAGCATGTACTCTGCCACCGAGAAATGTACATTTCTACCAAGAGTTCTCAGACTAACAAGAATCTGCTCACAAAGACCAGCTTCTCTGCCAGCCTTGTGTGACGTCTGTTTTGTCCCAATAATGTCTGGAGAGGAACCGAGGAGGGCAGGTGTGTAATGGGGTGTTTTTGTGGCTTGTCTTAAGTTATTGGTCTGGTTAATAACACCGTCCACCCCTGCCAAGATTATGGCTAAGGAGGAATCCTGGAGCATTTCACCCTGCTGCCTCAATAGCCTCGGGCCATACATGGATTTGGAATGAGACTCTTCGGATGGGGAGTTTCCCCATGCCAAGAAACACAACGCTGGAATTGGCAGGGTGAAGTCGAAGCCCTGCACAAACAGAACGCGGAGGCTTGCAAGTTTTCAAGCGCTTTCAATGTCTGTTTGAGTAAACGGGAATCGGTCTCCCCAGCAACGCCAGGGAGCAAGAGGTGGGGGGGGGGATGAGTTCCATCCTTGGGAGAAACTCCAGGAATGGGAACAGG